CTCTTTCCACCCTTCACCAGACTAAAAAGAGGACAAATATATGGAATAATCTAAGTTATTTCAGCAAAAATGTAGTACTCTGCTAAATAGAGGAAACATTTATTACTCCATGCTGATGAATTCCACATATATCAGCAGTTTCAGCAGTTTTGCCTCAGATAAGTTCTCCCAGTGGCACACAGAGACAGATTAAAATGCCCAACACACCTAGTTTCTTCGTGTATCAAGAGTACATTACTTGGAGAGAGAGAGAGAGAAAGAGCTCACGAGCAAGAGAAAGAAAAAAGGCAAGAATATTTTCCCTTTTATCTAGGAACCAGAAGAGGACAACCATTTCACCTAACCTTCCTTGACCTACACTTAAACGTGAGTACCTGGCAGTACTTCTGGTATTTCTCTTTTTCAAATTGCAACCGAGGCATTCTCATCCCGACATTACAGTTGAGCTGGCAGCTTCTCACCTGCACCAAGGGTGGTTTCCAGCGCAGGTTCTTCAATGGAGCAGGAGTGAAATGGAAAGAACCAGTAGGACGTTTCTTAAGCAGCAGCCTAACTCCAGCAGGATTCTCTCGCAACTTTGCCACCAAATTTTTGAGTTGCCATCCAACCTGGAAGAGAATAGAGACATCTTCTATTTAGTATTGCTTTTCTGAAAGCAAACAAAGAGGAAAAAACCAAATCCCCCACGTCAAACTGTCTGTTTTAACGTGAACTTAGAGAGAGAAAAGAGATCCAAAAAAGCCACAATGAAGAAAAAAATTGGAAAGCTCCTTTTTTGGAAGGTTCTTCTTTGTTTTGTTTCAGCAAGAGATCTCTCCTTAAACTGTAGATTAAACACTGAGATATCAAGCAATGAGCTCTATACCTCAGCTCCGGTCCTAGAAGGACGCATGGATGTGCTCAAATTGAGTAACATAGGGATTCACAGTGAACTACTTCTGTCATGTTTCTTTTCACACGTTGAAAGGCATTGCTTATCTGTACTAAGAAAAAATGTAATCATTTTATTTAAGTTCCCAGATGCAAACAATTTGACAAATACTTGGGGGGGTATTTTTAAGCTGTTTTTATCTGCATTTCAGTAGATTGTAACAATGCATTTAATACAGGCCTTAAATACAACATGAAGTGTTTTAATATGATGCATAGAGCATTTAAACATGAAATACTGCATATTTATTTTATCAAAATATTGCAAAGAATAAAATTTGTCTTGAAAACAAAATATTAAAAAGCCTCAAAGATTTTAACAGGAAAATACCAAAACCACCTCCTAAGCCCACCCATTCAGAAGCTGTGGGAAGCGAGCTTTGCAGAGCAAGCATAAGGGAGGGTTGGTAAGGCTGTTTGTTACTAACCACAGTTTGCCGATTAACCTGGATCACTTCATCACCAGCATGAATCTTCTGAGATCGATCAGCGGGGGACTACAAACAGGAAAACAATAGGCATGTGCTTCAGCAGGTTTTCTTCCCTCCCATAACAACCCCCCATCAAACTAAGTCGAAGGTTGTATCTATAATGAAAAGCACTGCTGAAAATTTTCACACAGCTAGATCACATATTACATCTGTTGATGACTTGAGAAACGCAAACGAATTCAACTTATGATTTATTTTTTATACTGGGGAAACCACAGGGAAAGGGAGAAGGCATAGCGTACGTCTGTCGCAGGCCAAATTGTACTTATGTCATGGGACAGTCTCCACTGTCCTTTTGCCTCCAGTTTGTACTGGAGTTTCAGACAGCAGTGGGAGAGGACTGGAAAGACTTCTGTTCTAACACAACAACTATCTTAACTTTCAAATAAATGTATACTGATTTTAAAAAAAAAAATGCACTAAGATTTTGAATGTATGGGACAAAGGACCAAGACCCCTCTAACCCACAAAATGGATCCATTGCACTTTCCCTTTTTGTTTCCTAATGTAAGTAAGAGCTACCAACTTTAATGTGAAATTACCTGCCTGCATCATCAAGGTCAATAGATAAAAATATATGCTTGCACACATCAACTGTGCATAGGCAGGTATTTTTCAAATACCTGTCTTATAACAAACCTTAAAATACAATTTTCTTGGAACAAAAACCAAGCTCTGGGAACCATTAGCGAGGAACAGCTAAATGTGTCAATATTTATTTAGATTTATCTACGGCTGGTGCCGTGCACCAGCTAGCGCTGCAGTTATTAAAACCAGTCTTGTTGCTATAACACACCAACTCTGACCAGCCTTGACAACACCCAAAGCGCACAGGCATACTACCTTGGTATACTGCACCCCAGTCATGGGACAACTTCTCCTCCCATTCCCCCCATCCCATGAGTAACCACCTGGCAGCAGGCCAGCTCTTCCTAGTGACTCCAGAACTAAACACTTAGATTAAGGACTCCCTTCTCCTCATCATCACACACTCAGAGCTCAAGTAACTTTCATTTGAAGGAACCATAGGAATAAACAGTGCAACAAGGGAAAAAAACATAGGGGAATTTCTGGGAAGCTCCAGCTATCATGAGTAACCCCATTTCTTCATTGTCTTCTTGCTTCCTCTGAGAGGAAATGCCTTGTGGAAAGCTGCATATACATGAGTCAACCAAGATCATGAAAAAACGCTGGGCCAAAAAGTCAAGTTTGTGAAAAACAAAGCTCATTTCAAGCTGTCCTTTGGGCGATCAACAGCCTATCTAGGGGAGGGTGGGGGACCCTTGCACAGAGGACTCCTACAACAAGTGCCGGCAAGCACAGCAGACACTGCAATCACATTGTGAGAACGGAAGAAAGAGCAAAGTTTAGATCTAGGCCAACATGATGCGGGAAGTCACAAGTAGGACGGCACAACTCAGGAATGCTCTTGGCTGACTGGTATCAAATGCATGGACTTCCCCAGTCCTTCCAATGTACAGTACTGTTAATTTTGGGGTGCAATTCCCCTGCATTCCAACACACTAGCTTCTGGGGGTAGTTACCATTCCAAACCTAGCAAGAAAATTGAGCTAAGACCCAGCCTGGGTGATCTAAATGATCCCATGCCACCAGAAAGACATGCGCTGTTTGCAGATTTCTCAGTCACTTGTCAAGTTTTGTTGCTCCAAAGGAAAGAGCTTGCCCAAAGGAAGAACCAGTGTTCATAAAAAAGCAGATGTTTAGGTCAACACTGAAAGCTATAAAAGCAATACAGCCCCATTACTGGCCTCCAAAATGACATCTATATGCACAGGCAGCTTGTCAGCAGTCAACATTACATTCTTTCACATTTATCGGATGTTGAAATTGCTGTGAAAGCAGACTTGGTCTCTGTTGCAGATCCTGTACAGAGTTATGCCAGGGCAATAGCACAAAAGCTATAAAAGCTTTCAGTTTTCACTCTGAACTGCAAGCACAGATTTCCACCCACTCCTCCCTGGCCCCTGGACTTGGCAAGGGTACAACTAGAACCACTGGTTCTTTCCTATTCACAAGAAAACAAAAAAAAAAGGCATCGCTGCAAAAGCCAAGTTCCTCTGCCTTTTTTCCTTCTTTTTCTTCTCAGCCACTGCTCCTGTAGAGCAGCGTGTCTGACAACACCACAGCATCACCTGCCAGCCTCAGCTGCACCACAGCATCACCTGCCAGCCTCAGCAGCTGGCCAGAGGTCCACTGCAACGACTGCCCAGAAGCCTTTAATAAAGTCTCAGTCACAGAGCGCTCACAGTGTAAGAATAAAGCAAGCGACCATCTGCAGCAAAAAAATACAGCTGCCTATCACGCCGACCATTTCCTTCCAGCAGACGGCCCTTAAAGTCTTACTTTTTCATAATCTTTTTACTCTGCAAGGTAATTCTGTCACTAGACAGCTCATTGATTTCATTACTCATTACTGAATTTAGCACACTACCACCTAAATGTTCCCATTAGGGGAGATTGCCTTTGCCAGCAGAGAGCAAATACGTTCACGACTTTGTTAAGCAAGATACCATAAGCACTCAGAACAGCAGATACAGTAACTTATTAAAGCAATTATTTTAATGCCAAGTGTTTGAACTAACTCATGTACTTGCAGAAACTGGTTTAATTAGACTAACAGTGAAACATGCAGACACAAAATATTTACAAATTGTGGATAAACAAATGATGCATCACACAGTATTTAAAGCAGTAATATCATGAAAGTTGTATGTAAAACAGAAAAAAGCGGTAAAAAAGTCAAACTAACTCAAAGCTACTGTCAGATAGCCTGAGTTAATCTACATTTACTTCACTTACGTTTTCTGTAGTTCCAGTAATTACATGTAATCCATCATAAGTTGATTTGATGTACATTCCCTAAATATAAGTAGAAAATGAAAAACAAGTTTAAATGCAAAAAAGGGCATAACTTATCTGATTAAACAACTGTTGGCAACAGACTCAAAACATTATTAAAAACACTTAACAATTCACATATTTTCCCTAGAAAAGTGTTTGGTCTAATATTACGACGTTCTAAACCTCTTCACAGATCACTTTTACTGTAATTAATTATAATATTTATAATGACTTAGAACACCTAATATATGGAATGAAATTTAGCAACATTATTTGGTTGGTAATACCAAACACTGCTGGTTTTGCTGCCTTGTCAGTCTTTGGCCTTGAACAAAACCTTATTTCCTTACTGCCCGGTCTGCACTAGAGAATTACAGGTTTTACTAGATGGCCACCAGCTTTCTCCATACAAAGCACACTTACACAGGCGGGCTACAAATATTGCCTACATGTTCTTTGACAATTTCACTTGGCAAGTCAACAGACTGCCTTGTAACCACAGTGCTGACAGAAGCAATAAAAACTCTGGCAGAACTAAGTATTTGTGGCTGTATATGTTAATGCTGAGCGTGAACGCAAGGACAAACTCAGATGAAGTGAGTGTTGACCATGTGAACACCAAATTAAAAATCACCAACAGGCTATTAACTAATAATCGCATAGATTTCCCAAGAGGTGACTAGTACATTGGTTTCATCGTTTATGAACAAATACATCTCTACTTTTCCTCCCCGTGTCTGTTGTTAGATGCACTCACACTGAGCTGTACAGAACTGGATGTTATTCAGGAATTGCAGGCAGCTTATGTGCCTGAAGTTACCACACTTGCTTAGAAGTACCAGGAAAAATACAAGATTTTTTTGCCCCTTCTTCTTCAGCCAATTCCCTTCCCGGTTTACCTGTCGGTATCCAATTGTGTGCACCTACCTCCTTATTTCTTACTTAGTCCAAGCTAGGCTGATTCTGCTTCGTTGTAGCTTGTACATTAACAAAGAGGTCCCCATAATTTCAAGAATGCATGACTGATTCAGTCAAATCCAGTGGCCTAGGTAAAACTATATAGCACAGTAAGACTGTAAAGCTTCCTCTAAAAGTGTTCATCTCTTCTGCCTTCAGGGCCAGGGCAAGGAATAAAAATGCACTTAAGAATTTAAATTCCTTCCAACTCATTCTAATAATATGTCTGTTCCCCAGCCAGAAAATCCACCAAGATTTCAACCTCACTTTCTCATAAACAGCACTCAGCTAAGCAGCATCCACTGAATGAACGAGATTCAGTAACGTTACACGGCCACCGAACATTTAAAAGTATTTCTCATATTCCTGCTAACAGCGAACCTCAAAAATCCTCGTATTCTTCTCAATCTTGCTATAAACACACATAAAAACATGTCTTTCAAAACACAAATATCACTTTTCATCACCTTCTCCCTCCCCCAGTCCCCCATAGAAAGGCAGCTGGTTAAGGTAACCTGCAAAAACAAACTGACTGATTTCACAAGCATCTGTAAATTCCCCGGTATCTGTTAAGACACAAATCTACAACAACAATTTATCATCAAAAATTATATTTGGGATCAAACCTATTAACGTGTATACCCATCTCTGGCAGCCACTCCAGCACACCACCTGACAATGAACCTTCAGAGTTCCTCCCCATGCCTCCTTCTGTTCCCTACAGGATATTACTGGTTTTGAAATATCTTGCTATACACACACATACAGTGGCTCCCAAGAGTACCTATTAAACACTGGGGACATCAGGACACTCCAGAATTGGTTCTTACCAGGCCTTCCCCAGGCTTAATGTTGGTTAAATGAACCTCCTCCAGACACGCACACTGGCTCATCAATGGATCTGTAGTTGACCGGATGGCTTTATCACAAATGCCATTTAAAGTCTTGGCCTACAATGAGAACATACAAAAAACAATTACAAAATTTCTCTCCTGGCTTCTTCCTCTTTCGGTTTTCAAAAACAGAAAGGAAATGAGTTCTAACCCTTGGTCCACTAATAACGCATAGTGAAAAAATCACCGAAATGGAAGATTCATTTGTACCCATCTATTCTACAGCATGTTTACCTTCTTACTGTAAGCTAGTACAAACAACCTGTTTCCATTAGTGCCACCTCATCATTGCTAACAGATGCCAATACATCCTCTGTTTAAAAAAAATAAACAACACAAAATACAGCAAACACTTTTGCAGTTTGTTTGCTTTAACCAAAATATAACCCATTAAAATATTGAAACATTTTGATGATTCCTTGTGGGAACAGTTGACAGTTTTTCACATTGTTCTTTATTTCTGCTATGAGAATAAAATTGGCCATGTGTCAGAAAAAGCGAGGTGCTGACCACTGACTTATTCACACAAACCTTTATAGTATAAGGTAGGACATCTAGCACTTCAGTGTTTCAGCATTACTTCTCTCCACCGTGCCTCTGAACTGACCTCTTCTGGAATGCTTGTGCAGGCAAGGTTCATATTTCCTTTTGACCAAAACATAACTGATCCTAAGCCATCATTATAACTAAAGGCAAATTCTGACCTTGCGTGTGTGTCAGTAAAGTCAGAGGCAGAACGGCTTTGTCTTGTAGAACTTCTAACTAGCAGAATAGCTAATTAACAAAAAAAGAAAAAAAAAAACAACAAACAAACAAAACAAAAACCCACTGTCCAAAAATCTGTGCCCTCCCTACACTCGCAAATTTCATTAATGCCCCACAGTGTATTTTGGTTCTTGACGTTAACTGAAGCAATGCTGAAACACAAAGTAGGTTACAAAAGCTTAAAGGAGAGGGAAGCGAGGATTAGTACACAGTGCAGCAGTTAGTTATACACAACTTGGGAACCAGCAAGGTAAGCCACCTTTCACAAGGGGTTTGAATCCTTCAAAGTAGACATATGTAATTACAGGACAGGGGGGAGCTGTCTTGTAGGAAGATACTGGTTTGGATTACAATGGTCCCTGGAAACAATAGCTCCAGCGGTTTTTGTTTTGTTTTACATCAGATTTATAGAGCACCAATAAAATAAATCAAAACAATGCTTAAGTGCGAATGCGAGGGACTGCTCAAACAAGGGAACTCCAAACAACAATACCTACTTCCAGAGTGGGTGTGCACAAGTGGAAAAAGAAAGATGCGAAAAACTCCCTTTTACGTGGTCTCATTATTTACGGACAAAATTATTTTTAGTTATTGTGCTACTAAATTCCTAAGCATCCATGAGGTAGCGGAAGGCCTTATCAAAGAGCACAGCCTGGTTCATGTCAAAAGCAGGAAGCGATGATTAATTGTTACAAAATACAAAAAGCATTCCATTACGCTCCTCCTTTGGTCACGAGGCTGCTTCAGACAACCCTGAAAACTCAAGCTCAAGTACAATCAGAGACAGAACTTCGGCTCTGTGGCAGGGCAGTTCTTTTACATGAAGAAGCTTAATAAGGCATAGTGTCTGCTTATTAAGGCACTAAATGCACATCACAGGCATAACTGGTTTATTCAGCCTACGATCATTCTACACTACTACCCCTCCCTTGAAAATCTGAGGTCTAAATTCTTTTGAAAAAATAGCTGTGCAATGAAACTTTAAGGAATACTTGACTCCATGCTATTACACACACTACCCGTCTGTTCAAATTTCATTGATTTCCTCTACAGTAAAGAATATTCACAAAATGGCCCATAACAACGTTTACTTGCACGATATGCTTGTATGTGTGGGACTGGAAAGCTGTTCTAAGTGCTGTCAGTGTAGAAGCCATCGAAATAAATGCAAATGCAGGCAGCTGAGTTTCAAGAGAAACGTGTACTTACTACAATCTGAACTTTATCTTCCATGTCAGCCACAGTGCAGTCCTAAAAACAAAACAAGAACAAAAGCCCTACGTTAACCAATAAATATGTAAACACATCATCTCTGAAAACTCTGCAAAACTGCCACTTTAACCTTGAACTGAAATAGAGTTATTCAGGCTGCAGGGATTAATCAGATTAGTTTCACCCAGTAGGGCTCAAATGTACTGTTAAACAACTATTTTCTGGCCCTGGTAGAAAGCAATAATAAACCTCGAAAACTAAGAGAATATGGGATTCAATTACAGCAGCAGGCTTTTCCAGAAAAGCAGAACCCTGCACAATAAAACTAGACTCTCAGAAGGCCGGGCACACACAAGCTTGCTTTACACCAATAAACCCTGACTCAGGTGCTCCTCTGTCCCAGGCATCAAAATGGATCTAAAACATATTGTTAAAAATAGAATGAAAAGTGATCTTTTTAAAAATATGCTATCGATGACATTCCTGAGGGCCAGAGGACTGCACACAAAGCATTAGCTACACAGCCCAGGTACAAAACTCTTTGAGCTGAAACAAGTTCATGTAACAAACTACAGAAGCTGTCATTGTTTTCGGCAAGAAGAGCTGAACTGGAGAATGGTATTAGATTCTCAGATTAAAAAGTTAAAACAGCAAGTAAATAACGAAACAAGATTTACAATATCTATAAGGAGAAAAACCCCAAACCCCAAGCATTTAAACAAGCTTAAATTCCAAGATATTTGCCCTTGATATCTCAACCTGCGTAACGACCACACAATGCCCGAGAGAAGCATCCAGGAGCTGTGAATTGAAGCTGTTCCGTATTTCTGATCATCCTCAGCACTTCAGTTCCTTCCTACCTCTGTTCTGTACTTTTAAATACAGAAATACAAAAAAACACACAGTCCTCCAGATAACGGGCACATCAGGGATACACAAAACAGCTCAGCTATGTTCTCTTTTATGTTTTCATAAGTCTTAACACCCTGTTCACTGTTGTAATGACCACCAAGGACTGAGGTCACACTTTTTACGTTCTGTCAAAAGCTTCAAGATACTACTACAAAGTTTAGACTCCATCATTGTGCATCGGCATAGTTTTTCTCTGCTAAATACATAGCAAATGTCACCTATAATCATGCAGCCCAGTTGCTCAATATTGCAAAGTCCTTCTGCTCCTCTTCATTTCTATTTACACTGATTATTATTTTAACCTTAAAGTTTGCTATAAAGCTTTAAGAAACAATGGAGTAAACTCTGTTCCTTGTATCTACATAGCTGTCATTAAAATCAACTGGAATCATACTGCATTCCCGCCTTGCTTTATTATTCACCCACTTTTACACATCATTTATGATTATGCAGACCAGCACTGGGTCCACAAGAGCCACACTGGTCTCTTCTCCACTACAAGAACTGACCATTTATATTCCTACGTTCTATTCCCTAATAATAAATACTTTTGAAGTCTAAAAACTCATCTAAAGATTTTTCAATTGTATCTCTCTTCCACATCGGTTGATTCCTTCAGACCATTCTAATGTATTTGCAGTGTCCCAGTACAAAATAGTGTTGATTCTTCCCCCAATAATGCTTTTTCTCATATGCACAAATCCCATTCTTTATTATAGCTCATATTAAATAGGCAGAGAAGTACTCTGGCGCTTGTTAAAAAGCTAGGGTTGCATTCACCAACTTCCATTCCCCTGCCATCAAAGGCTGATTTAACTGACAGATTAGACACCATTTTTAGTAGTTTTATTAATACAGTTCAGCAATCTCATATCTCAATTCCTGTAGCACTCTTGAGTGAACACCATCTGCTGCAAGAAACGCTTACTGTTCTACTTCACAATTTGCAATTCTGTAGCTGTAAATCACTGACTTTCTACAATTGCACACGCAGCGCCCGAACCAGAAGGGCATTCAGCAGCAAGCCAAACTTGTGTGCCTTTGAACTTATAATATCCAGACACTATCCTTTCACAACGATCCAACTGATATAATTGGGTGTCATCATAGCTTGACAACTCACAGGATGTTTCTGTCCTTTGACATCATCCCCTCAAAACTGGGAGAGAATCACCCACGTCACAGGACATGGTCCTTCAAAGTTCAAACAATATACGGCCACAGGCTAATGGCTACGACCAAGTTTGGCAGGAATTGAAGCGTGCACACAGTGCTTCACAGCCAAAGCAGCGGCACGCTGTCAGACAGTTTTGAAGACAGGCAGTATTATTCAGAGAGCAAAATGACGTCATTTGCCAAGATTGTTGCTACATGTCCTTTTAGCTATTGCCAATACGAGCGCTGATCACACAGCCGATAAACGCAAAGTTTTGAAACAAAACACTGTGGTCTCACACTACTAGCAGAAAAAGCCTGGCTAGAGGGATTTGTATCGTAAAGATGACAGCTCCTTCCGTTACATGCAGCATTTCCCATCTGATGGCTACAACACTCTATATGGGACAAGACCTAAGGAGTGTGCAAGCATGGGTATAATCACCAATGGAGTCATGTTTCTGTTTAGCGTTAGCACTGATAACCTTTTCAACATGCTGTTTGGAACCTGGAAATCTTCAAATGCGGACCAACTATTTCAAAAACTAACCCTCTTTCCATTAAACCTCAAGAAAATATGAGTAGCCTTTAAACCAAAGTCACTTAAGATACAGCCAGCAATATCAAAATTGTAAATTAAGTGGCGGGGGGGAGAAACCCAACAACTCAGAAAAATGGACAACTGAAACTGACCTTCATGGACCTTCAAAGTTTCAAGTAAGCTCTCATTTCCAGATTTGCGTTCCAATTAGCACTCCGCACACAGCAAGCACGTCACTTCCCCAAACACCCCCCCCTTCCTTCCCTTTTGGAAAGCAAAGAGGAAAAGAAATCCGCTGACCTTCTGAACAGTAGTAGTGAGATCCAAGCAGAGCTGAATGATTCTGTTCTTCATTGATGAAAAGTCAGCAATACCTGTAAATGGGGTCCTGCAACAAGAGAAAATTCCCCTTAGATCGAAGAGACCAGTCTTCTCCCATCCTACCTTATCAGTGAGGAATAGCATGTGAAAGCAAGAGCTGTAATTCTGACATCCACACAAGTGTGAGGATACAGTTTTACATTATAAATATTTCTGACCACATAGTCCTGCTCCATCCTTGGACCAAAACTGGTGAACATCTAGCCCTGTGGTAAGCGAGTTCAGAAAGCAAAACCAGAAGGAGGTCAATTTTCCAAACTACAGTTCTCTCAGCTGCATACTCAAGTCAGATCACACTGACTGTGTTGTAAAAATCACACCCTTGGGTTTGCCAGTGAGTGGATTTCTAACTTCCAAGTCTTTGATTACTAAACTCAGACTGGAGAGGCAAAAAAAAAAAAAAAAAAAAAATCAAAGGGATTTTTGGGTTTTTTTACAGGGTACGGGAGAATAGGTGGACTGTTAATCAGATTATGACTTATCAGTAGATTTATTGTAAAAAACCCAAACGGGAGAGGAAAAAAAAAAAAAAAAAAAAAATCTCTAAAAGAAGAAAAACGGATACTCACATTTTACATGCAGAGGTGCAGTGAGGCTCAATCTTAGGGAAGGATCACTATAGGTAAGGCAGCTTTAGAGCCTACAGAGTCTCACCTCAGACCCTCCAGACAACTGAAAGAGCTAGAAAGGGGGTTGAGAAGTAACCCCAGCAAGTTTGGAAACTGACAAGCCAGCCGTCTTGCTGCCAGTGAGTTGCAGAAGAAATTTAGGGCGAGCTGCCAGCAACAGGGTAAGAGGAGAGGACTAGGTGAGAGGCACAAGCTGTTAACATGACTGACTGGACACAGAACCAACTCCTTGCTGGATAGCAGGGATATTGAAGGATAAAAGCGCTCCTTGCTAGCAGTCCCTGTGCAGCTCTCCTCCTAACTTTCCTTCTCAGGAAAGCTGGCAAGGGGCTTGAGAATTTACATTCATCTGTTATCACGGACAGCATCCCTGACAGCACCCGACCGGCTCTGTTGCCTCTTTGCTTCCGCTGCAGCTGTCACAAAACAACTCTGGCTCTTGCCAGAGAAAAAAAAAAAAACAAAAAACAAACAAAACGCACACACACAGCAAACAGGCAGAGGAAGAGTCACTGCTCAGTTTTCAAATTGCAGAGCTAAGGCCGCAATTTCAGTAGAGCATTAAAAATTTTTAGATGACAGCACCCGACCGGCTCTGTTGCCTCTTTGCTTCCGCTGCAGCTGTCACAAAAAACTCTGGCTCTTGCCAAAAAAAAAAAAAAAAACAAAAAACAAACAAAACGCACACACACAGCAAACAGGCAGAGGAAGAGTCACTGCTCAGTTTTCAAATTGCAGAGCTAAGGCCGCAATTTCAGTAGAGCATTAAAAATTTTTAGAAAGGGACATGCTAATGACAAGTAATTTAGAAGGTGGGAAGGGGAGAGGAGGAAGTCACGTGTATGAGAAACCGACCTGAACAGGAAGACTCCTACTTAAATAAATACCAGTTTGGATGCAATGTTAACAGTTTCACTGGTTTTAGCAGGAGTGGAAGCGCAAGAGTAGATACCTCAGGTTAAATTTGTCCACTAGAAGCCTTCTGGCAACACCAAAAAAAAGTGGTGAGAGAGATCAAGATCTTTACACCCAAGCATCTAGAAATTGCCCTACAAGGAGAAGCAATTCATTATAGTAGTAAATTAAAATATAAAGATTTTATTCTTACCTGTCTAACCATGCAAGCAAGGCTTTAGCAGCACCAATAAGCTCTACCACAGAAGTAAGGAATTCATTGGGGGGCTTGCGAGAGGTGTTTCCATCATAATTTGAACTTTTCCTACGGCTGCTGATGTAATTTTGCAGATTGTTGGATGATGCTCGTAGCTTGAGAACCAGGTTCTTCATATTGTCTGTTTCAAGACCATAGTTCTGCAAGGAATATTATTAAGCTTGATAAATCTCCCTATTGGGTCCTCCTATTTATTATACCACAAGTTACAAACTCATATGGGATGAAAGGTCTGAGGACTTGCCCAATTTTTCTGTTTTTTGTTCTATACTACAGTCACTAAAGAATACTTTTGTGGTTGCCAAACCCCCTCAGTTTCTGACACTAACAAGATTTGAGGACACTTTTCAAGCCGAATGAAGTCTCAATGTCTTATCAGATGTCATTTACCTTTAAAATGCAGTTGGAGTAACAGGATTGTGTTGGTTTTCTTTTTGTTAAAGGAAAGCAAATGCTGTTTTTTCTTAAAATGTTTTCTATACTGTGGTACATAAACACTGAAGTAACATTTCATTCACAACTAAAGATAAACTTAATCTGGCAAGAGAGAAAAACATCAACAGGAAGCAAATGTTATTTCACAGTCAAAAGCTGGAATAAATATTTGGATCACAAGTTTTCAGTAACTGTGCTCCTTGATTACAGCAGTGCAATTATTTGCAAGTTTGAGGCCTGCATTAACACTATATATAATAATTAAAACCATTCTTAGACATTGCACTTTTCATTCAACAGCATCTTTATAAAAATTTTTGAAACCTAAAAAAAAAAAAAAAATCTCTAAGTCCTGCCTCTAACTTCAACTTTATAAATTCAAATACAACCAAACCACACTCTGTAAGATTAAAACCCAATTGTTTTAAGCAACACATTGATCATCTCATTCCAAACACATAAGAAATGCTATACTATATATGTTCTGAAGGCAACTCAATTTTGTAATCAAGATTTTCTTCTTTTTGCTGTCAGTGTGCAAATGTGTGAATTATGTAGCAATATGTTGCTGAGTATCTTTGCTTTTGAGTTATCCGACCTTGCAAAACCTTTGTGGTCATCTTCTCCAAGTTAAGTTTCAGGCAATGCTTTGCTCTTTTGGAGTGAAAATTTCTACTTTTCTTAAAAAAAAAAAAAACAAAAACAAAAAAAAACAACCATCAAAAAAACCAAAACAACCACCAAAACAAGACCAAAACACCCAAAAATCCAAAAACCCCTGCCTTTCTCTATTCTGCTGCTGCTGCAGATTCTTGCTACCAACCTCCAAGTTCCATAGGTTGCTCAGCTATACTATCTACTCTTTCTCCTTTCCACCTCAAAAAACCAAAGCAACTAAAGCAAATCTTAATTCCATTCAATTCCAAGCTTCCAGGGGTTACCAATGGCTCCCCTCGGGATCACAGCATCACCCAGGCTGGAGGGGAGCTCAAGAGGTGTCAGTCCAAGCTCCTGCTCACAGCAGGTTCAGCTGTAAGCTCCGACCAGCTTGTTCAGGGCTTTATCCAGTCAGGTCTTGAAAACCTCTGAAGACAGAGACTGTACAACCTTTCTGGGCAACGTGATCTACCGTCTGACTGCCCTCAGGGTGAGAAAGCATTTCGTTATACCCAGCCTGAACCTCTCATTTCAACTTCTGCCCAAAGTCTCTCATCCTCCTGCCATGCACCACCATGAACAGCCCAGCTCTGTCATCCTGCCAACTGTGTTCTCCGCCACGGTAGGTGCTGGGGATCTGCTGTTACGCCTCCCTGAAGCCATCTCTTCCCCAGGCTGAAGAAATCCCAGTCCCTCAGCCTCTCCTCACGGGTGAGTACTCCAGCCCTGACCAAACTGGTAGCCCTCCACTGAGCATGCTCTGGTTTCTCCACGTCTTTCCTGTACCTGGGGGCGGGGGGCATATGTAGACTAATGAGTGCTAAGTCAAGGGCAATGATCGCTTCCCTCCCTCTCCTGGCCATGCTCCCATTAATGCAGCCCTGGATGCTGCCGACTTCTTTGCTGTCAGGGCACACTGCTGGCTCCATTCCCTCCACAGTCAGGCATCCATAAAACAGGCTGGAATATCTTAGATTAAGTCACTTACAAAAGATGAAACAAAACCTTTGCCCCAAAGATACCCACCATTGTAAGGAGAGGTTTCGGGTACTCGGCTACCTTTAAAGTACCTACCACCTCCTACGGATAAGATCCCAGTGGGTGTAAGTTACCTAAGTGCCTCCCTCCTCGCCCTGAGGGCTCTTGGCAAGGAAGTACCCTCAAAGTGCAGCCAGGAGTAGGGGTTGAGAGGATATAACCAATTAAAAAAAATGCCACTGTTGCAACAGCAAAGGATATCCTTAAACTTTCCAGGACCAGAGAGAGGGAAAGATTTGGATTACTAAACAATGTTAAGGTAAGTTCACACATGACAGTGTGCAAATATCACCTTTTAATTTTAATTAAAAAAAAAAAAAACAAAAACAAAAAACAAAAAACAAACAACCAAAACCAAAAGCATCATCCAGATGCATTTCTTGCAGTTAGTTTTCTCCTCCTCACAGGACATTGCATATTAGTCTATTTTTGGAGGAATACTTTTCAACCAACAGGTCTGGATGTGGGGTAAGTTCCTGTGACCACAAGAACTTGAAAGTAGCCATGCGGCAGAAATCTCCCCCTTTAACAGGGGAATTAGAGGATGCTGACACCCACCCTCACCCCACCCCCCTTCCATTAAGGGACAGAAAATACAAAAGATTTTTTTCTGTACAGTGGTATAACCACCAAATCACTCTGGTCAGAACTTGAAAGAGTCTTCATATATTTAAGTATCTCCAGGTCATTCTTTCTGTCATTCAGGTGCAGAAATTGTGCCCACCACCTGTGGATGTCTGCAATTAGAGATGGCCCCAGCATTTAAGAGGGCACATGTTGATATACCAGGTCAGATTTTGGTTTTGGCCCTAAAACATTCACATGCTCCTTATCACACCTCTTTCACCTTATTTATACAGCAGGTCAGTCTGGTGTGATTTTTTCCAGTTCAGCTAGTTTTTAAATAATTCTCTCATGTAGTTCTCAGTTTTGAGGTGGACTTCAGCAACACAGGTGTTGCCTCTGTAGATATAGGGGCTCCAGCTTATGACTGCAACTGGTCTCCCCAACAGCCTCTCAAGAGCACATCACAGCCAAGCTCTCCCGTCACTGCACTAAGCTTTCCTACAACTTCCCCCAAAGACTCTACAGAGCGCACCTGAGATACCTAAACCAGCAGTTTGTGCTCTAGGAAAAGTCCTGGCTAAGCACTATGCCTACCCAGCACAACAGGGACCACACAGCTCTTCAGTACAGGCAACCTAATTCTCCAACTACGGACCAGCCCTGAGGGATGAACTTCCCCAGAACAAAAGGTCATCACAACCCAAAGCACTTCTGCTCCAGGGGCAAGCCAGTCTCACCCATTTGCTCTAATACACAGAAAACATTATGCCCCTTCACCAGATACAGCAATGTTTCTACCCAAGCTGACACTATCTTGACCACCTCACACGTAACTACCTATTTCTGCTGCTATTCTTCTGCTCCTTCACTTGCAGCGCCCAGTCTGTTGGGAGGGCTGGTTTGGGGAACTAAACCATTAAAAAAAAAAAATCTATTCCCTTTTTTACTGCAGTGTGCTCTCAGCTGGTTTAGCTCCCTGAAGTAGCTCACCTCAGAGTCAGGTGAGTGCAAGCACAAAAGATCACTACTCAGGGGACAGGAGGGGGTGGAGGCAGCAGCTGACTTGGATTAATTTAACTTGTCATGGAGCTGTAGCCCCAATTCAAGACAGATAGGAATGTTGATAGCATGGCAGCACACGAAACAGCCTTCGCAGCAACACACAGTTGAAATGCAAAGCTTAGCAGGCTTTTATGAATATTTCCACAGGACTGAGGCTACAATATTTAATAGGTTATTATTTAAGCAACCAAAAGGGTTTAGATGTTGCTCATCAACCAAAGAACACGTTACACTTTCCTATTGATCCCGATTTAAAACATCAAAGTTGCTTTCATCAAAACACAGGCTGAAGCCAGCGGTCAAGAGCACCCTATGTCAAACATTCCCAGGTTGTTACTCATTAACCTGGGGAGCCACATGCAGGGCCGGAGCGAGAGACGGCACGCACACGTGCACGAGAGCGCACAGGCGCACAAGAGCATGCTCTTTCCAAACTCCATTGCATTTAATGAGAAAGAGTACACTGACCAAATAATTGTTCAAGGTCAGGCAGCCAACATAAAATAAAAAAAAAAGGTGTGGCTAACCAAAGTCAAAAGAGCACAGCAGCTGTGTCAGAGCTGACTTGGGCTGATCCAGAGCTCTGCTACTGCCTAGGGGCAGCATTGCCTTCCCCTTCACAGCCATGTTCATGTGCCGCAGTATGGTGAGCTGGATCTGCTGGCTGATCCAACTGAAAACCAGCTCTGGGAAAAAAAATGAATTAAAAACAGACTGAATGCCTGCTCAAAAGCTGATCCAACTCACTGCATGCCTATATAAACACTAGAGTTAACACAATGTACTGTCACAGTCACCTATTCTTGCTCTCTCTCTTTTAACAGAAACGCATCCTGAAGAATCCTCTAGAGTCCCAAAATTCCTATTAAACAGTACTAAATTTAAGTTGAGACCTCTAGAAAACTGAAATCTTTTGAGGTGGTGCATAGATGTGGTGCTTTTGACAAGGATTAGCCACAAAGGACAAGTCTTCATGTATGCATGTTCTATTTTATGTTATGATGTTATATTTTGTTGCACTGCAAATATGCTGGCAGACATTACTACTAGTGAAATTATCAAAGGCACAACACCAAAAACTATGTTTTTTGTTTTGTGGTTTGGGTTTAGTTTTTTGGGGTTTTTTTTGATTGTTTAAAACTAGTATCTCTTCACTCTAACCTCAATAAGCTGCTTTTTTGCTACCAAACTCTCCCATCATACAGAGTAGGTAATTCAGAAATCTAATCCAAAGAACACATTAAAAGTGAAAATATTTGCATAGTTTCCTGTTAATGCTTGCATTATTTTCTGTTTATTAAGCCCAAAGAGGCAAGTCTACTCATGAGGGAATGATGAGTAAGTATTCAGTTTTCACCACCACTCTAGATGCTTTTTGTCCCAATTTTTTGGCTGAGAAAGCTTATTAGCTTATTTTCTGGATCCCCACCCTTGCTTTTGTGGTTTTGCATGAGTTTAAAAAGCATATTTATGTATGTTTGTTGTTCTACCCCCCCCCCCAAACTTCAGTCAACTAAGAAATGTCTTACTCCCATCCCTTTTCTCCCTCAAGCAAATATTGTCATTGACAAAAAGATGGAGGCACTCAAGATGATGTTTTTTCCCCCCTCTGGGGAATGCAGTTTCTTTGATATGTCCTCTAAATTCCTTAAATAAGTCTTCAACACCTGTTCAGAAAAGTCTATTATACCAGCTCAAGAGCAACAGAAATGTGTGGCTCACAGGAAACCTTCCCTTTTTATCCCTGTCCACACTCTCTCCTGCTGCCTCTCCAGCTGCAGCTTTGTTGCACATGTGGCCACTGCTATGAGGAGATGAAGGAGCACTGCCTGATCACCAAAGCAGCAGAGAAAGATGCATTCATTTCTCTTTCAGCTATACTGGTTCTAGAGTTTGCTTACTATGGCAGCAAACACCATAACTTGCAGACATATTTTCAGCTTGGCAGTGTAGCTGCCAAAGAGGGTTCTATTCCTATAAATTAAAAAATAAAAAAAACAAAAAACAAAAAACAAAAAACCCAAACAATTTTTAAAAGGTGTATTTGGTGTCCTTCATCAAGGAAAGAACTACCTTCACACTGTATTTTTATGACTGATCTATTGAGGCTGGAAAAAAGGTCTGTATGGTCAATGCTTTAAAAGAGTTACTGCAGGAGAAAGATGTTCCAAAGACAGCTGCTTCATTGCCTTTAGAGCTGCAAGTGTTCTTGCAGTGTGAGGGAACCAAAGCACTGAACTGAAGGAAGCTCAGCTGGAAAACCGTCAAGGCAAAAACTAGATAAAAAGGGAAATTCTTCTTAGGAACTCCAGGACTGGGGAAGCACCAAAACCCCTCTCAGCCCTTCTCTCCCCCCAAGAATGACACCATTCAAAGCCTGACCTCCAGCTGGCCCAGCCAATGCCATATTTCCAGCATGAGCTAAAAGCACGGAGGAGGAGAGAAAAAAAATCCCTAAAATAGTTCCTTTGCTTTTTAACTCAAGGCCCCAAAAGTTAGGGAAACGTCACCATATATACACACACACAAAAATCCCATCCAACTAAGTGATATCAATACACAGACCCACTTTCAAAGAACTAATACAGGTGTAATAGGCAAACCTTTATTCTCTCACACAAAAAAGAGAGAGCAAGATAAAAAATTGGCTGTCACTAGAACTTAAAACACACTATCCCCTCAGGAACGAAATCAACAGTGATTTTATACAACAATCCCAAAAACTCAAGGGAAGGGGCATCAGGAAGGTGACAAAGGGCATACCTAAAACACGGGAATTCTTCCTCCACCTCTTAAGAGGGAACAAGGACATTTCAGCTGCAATATGTGAACTCTGTCTAATGCATTAACTTGAGCTGCATTTCACAAAGGATTTCCAGAAATGAGTCTGAGGTCAAAACTTTTGTCTACAAAGGAAATTAGAAGGAAATTGTAGGAGATAAAACACAGCTTTAGGTTCTGGCGGTCGTCCAGCTTTGTTCATTTTATTCTAATATTTTAAAAGTAAGAAGAAAAAAGTGCCTTTGGGGGCTGCCACATCCATTACTTCAGTCAGGGCTGTATACAGCACACAGTACATCTACTAACTCACCAGACCCCTTCATTCACTGGCCCAACAGATTATCCCTTCCTACAACATGAATTGCATTTCAGGCTAATTACATTCTATTAGATTTTCAAGTTAAATGTTAAAAATTTTTGATCAATCAAATACTGAAGAGGAAATAAAACGTTTTTCCAGTATAAGAGCAACTCTGGGAAACATTTCAGATTGCATGAAGTGATTTCATTAAATACACCTCTTCCACTACAGGATATCCAATTTGTTCCTGGTTATGGAGTACTAATGATCCCTGTAGCACCTCCCTGCAGCAAATAAAGCACGTATCACACGGGCAATAAAAACTCTCCATTTTAAGAAGAGTATGCTTGGTGCTGCAAGTCTTGCCTAATGAAGGAAAGGCGGGCCAGTGCTGGCCGAGGAATCATCGGGCAGTCTTTCCCACCCTTCTCCCTGGTGTAATCATATATATACACCTCTGGCACTCATTTGCTGCGTTACATCAAACACATCTTCAAGACTGTGTCCAAACTACAGCTTTTAAATAAAGCCTGCACTAGCAAAACAATCCGAAATATATTTATTCTTTTCAGAGTGTGTTTGTTTTAAAAGTATCTGCACAGTTATATATCAGGAGTAAGACAGAGGAACAGCTTAAGTTCTGAATCCAGTGAGAGTTGAACTCGACTGTAACTGAGTTAGCAAAACATCCCTCATTTCAAGAACAGTTTCTTCGCTTTGCCCTAGTGAATTGCCCTAACAGAATTGCCCTAAACCTATTTCAACTGATGTGAGGAACCATTAGCAGCTGTCATTTCAACAGTGTGTCTATCTTCTACGACAAATTCACTCTACTCAATAGCAATTTTAATCACTCTGTTCACTAACAGGAGCCACAAGACCTAACCATGCTACTCAGACAACTTTCTTTAGAAGTGCAACCAAATGAATTAGTGTTGCCTCCTATCAGGAAAAAGTTAAGGACCTATTAACACAAAGCTTGCAAGAATTAAACAAATTCTTACTGTTTTCTTTTACAGTGATGTGTCACAGAAAGCAAAAGACACAGGTATTCTGGTTTTATCAGACTCGCCTTAATTAATCACCTAAAGGAGCACTTTAAGAAATTCTTTGCATATCCGTTCACCATTTAACTAACCAGTGCACACAGGAGATCCACAGCCTCTAGAACCAGTTCCTGGTGTCCAATCCGTGAGATACCCAATTCTTCAAGGTCCTGGTGAGAAATCTGTAACAGCTGTTCACCATTTATCTTCTCCCGTTCAAATTTATGGACATACTGCTGCAGGCAATCATCCAGGCCTACCAAAACACAAAAGAGAGAGAAGGGGATGCAATTACAAATTTCTGTCTTTTCTTCGCCTTTCCCTCAATTAAAAACAAACCAACCAACCCACCCCCCCACCCTGCAAAAGGCACAAATTGCAAGTCATAATTTGGCATTGCATATTGTATGAAAAGAAACTCGCAGCATGACTGAAGTTGTACGACGGGGCATAGAAACACAGCACACAGCTTATGTGGATCTTTGGGTCACCCAAGTCAATGCATGACCCACCTGCTCCTTGTGGATCAAGTGTAGCAGGTAAGAATGTCCCTTTGGTGTCTGCATAGGCAAAGCTATCGGGGGCATGCATAGACTCAGCTATCAGGGTAACCCAAAACCTTGAAGGGCAACCAAAGCAACAACAACAAAAAATAACAACTGACCAAAAAAAGATGAATACAACAAGGCAAGGCAAGAACAAAGATCTTGCCCAAAGCCTAGTTAAACAAGCAAACAAACAAAACCACAAAAACTGGCAGTTCCCCATCCACTTATATATAAAAGTGCTGAATGAATGATGAGAGGAAAATGGAACAATCAAAGGCAAAGCAATCAAAATGATCTTTGGCTCAAGTCTCATTATTCCATTGATTTATGAGACCCTGCAGCTTCCTGAATCAGCCATTCCCCTTGCTAAGGATTAACGGCACACACCAATAAGGAATTTAATTCACTTTTGTATCTATGATGTATTTTTAAAATAGCTTATTTTGTCCCAGCAATATCCCAAAAATCCTCACTTTAAATTGTGATTCTATGATCCCGTTCTCTACAGGATCTTTTCTCCAGTGATTACAGAAAGGATTTCTGGTTTTCATTTTATTTTATTTAACTAAACTTCATGTGTTAATCCTGTTTTCTTGTGTATTCTGCTCATTTCCTCTATTCTTAAAGATCCTGTGAGCAGCAAAAATCTGGAGAAAAATTTGGATGGATGTGTTATTTTAAAGGTGATGCAGTGCTCTTGATGCCCTGTTCCACTTCAACATATTAGGTGCAGCAAGAGGCACCGACCCAATTAGATCTGTTTTGCAGAAATACACCACATTCACTGAAAATAGTTGACAGAGCAAAAATTCAGATTTCACATTCGACATCTACTTTGTAGCATCCACAATAGCTACATTGTTTGACCATTCAGTGTTTAAAAAAGTGAACCTTTAGCTGTATAAAGGATGTTTATCCGCTACACTGGCTCAAAAGGAAGCCATTGAGATGGACAGGATGTCAAATGCTGGAGATGAGAAACACGAACAGCATCCTGAACTGCAAGGAAAAGAGAGCCAGAAGACCAGCACTCAGTTCCACTCATGGAGCTGCAGTAGCAGCCTGGAAAGCAAGCACTCCCACCACACTCTACTGCCAAGAAAACACTCGAGACAAATCACAAGGGGGGTTCTAGGAGTCACATGAAACATACTCATTTCATAACAGCAGCACGAGCAGTCGCTGCTGCCTTGCACTGTCTGGTCACGGCAGACCTGTAGATTATGGACTCTCAAAGGCACAGGCTTACTTAACACACATCACTTGCCTTGATAACGCTCGCTCAGAAATTAATGAGGACAGACCCCCTGGCACTTAACAGCCACCCCTTTACATGACTCGAGCAAGCTTAATTATTGCAGTACATCAAAATCTGGCTGAACAAGCTCGACTCCTCCACGTGCAGAGCTACCAGTGTGCACAGCTTGATTTTTAAGCATAATTATGAATGGGAAAACCTGCATGCACGATGAGCAGAGTCTCCCAGGGCTACAGTTGTTTGGGGTGCACTCTTGTTTCCTCCCATCTGTCTTGGCAAGGCCACATAAATTTTGAAAATTGAGCCCAGTGTTCTCTTTCCCACAGGCACCAAATTCTCCCTTAGGCTATACAAACTCTTTTCCCAGGAAAAATAACAAAAAGATCTGGCCTTCATTGTTTAACAATTTATTTTTTCAGAACAAATTCTCAACCTAGGCTGACATACAGTGCACATATTTGGCATTCTCAATTTTTAATGCTGTCTTGCAGATCACTGTTTCCCATCATTTGCCATTGTAAGCCCATAGTTTCCATTAGAAATTACACAAGCGCCTAAAATAAAACACTTTATTCAGCATGCAAGTTTTTATTTTTTAAGTTTTTTGGATGCAGTGCTGCTTTTGCCTACTATCCTTTCTGTGTATTGACTCAACTTTCTAGATCCACGTTCTATGGTAAAACACGAGACTCACAAATGTATACATCCCCCCCAAGAAATGCAACTATGGCTTTCAGCTTGCCTGTGCTTTTTTTTTTTTAATTCATGCTTGCCTGTTCTTGAAGGTCTATTACCACTTGAACAGCTACCTCTAAAATATATTTTAATAACAGTCCTTAAAAACAATACTTCTATAGTCACACCGTAAGACTGTTTTAGAAAATTTTATAAAGTCACATAAATGTTAATTCAAAACAGTCAACACAGAGGCACAGCCGCTCAGCTAGAAATGTATTTAAGATTAAGTGACCAAAACTATGCAAAGCAGGAAGTGCAGACAGACCCACACACTCATGCTAAGCATTCACTAATGGTTTAAGATGAGCTTACTAACATTAGTGTTGTTGTTACTTTTACTAAGAAACATATGGAAAAATCTTAAACATTTTAATTGCGATTGCAATCACATTTATAGCCTATTGTTTAATTTTCCATCATATGAATGAAATGTTTAAACATCATAAGCAAACAAAAAAATTCCTATTTCTCCAAGAGGGAAAGGAGAAGGGAGGAAAAAAGGACTCATAAATCAGTTCAATAAAACAAACTAAATAATATTTAAGTCAAGTTTAAAAAGTCAGCATTCAAATCCCACTGGTAATCTAAGTGAACTGCTCTTTTTTTTCTTCTTCCAAACATCTCGGTTCTTTCCGTGTATTTTCTCTGTCAACTTCAGAGCCTCACATAGACTTGGTATTGCCCATTAGCAAAGTCTGGATATTTCTGAGAAACTTAGATTAAAAACTATAAAAAGCAGTCTACATTACTCAGAAAGACGCTTTCTTACACGTCACGTCATTTTCAACAGTGCAATATTAGCAAGTTCAAGCAAGAAAATAGTTTTCTCTATTTCTGAAAAAAAATACAATTAAGACTGACATTGGAAAAGATATCTATATTCATCTCCTCTACCCACTGAAGAGCCCCTTCTGAAAGTCTAATCTATTCATTTTATGCCCAAAGTATGTTCAAAAAGCATTTGTCTCAATTGCATGTGAGTAATCTTTATATTATTCCTTGTACATACATCAAAACGATGTCCAAAAAATAACGTCCTTCCTACTTACATAATTGTTAGAGGATGAGGGAAGATGGAAATAGAAATAGCAATTACAGAATATTACCCAAGTTTTACAACAATAGTAGCAGTGATTTTCGGGGGAGGCACGGGGCGGGGG